TAATAGCTGCTTCAAGATCACGAATAATTGTTGGTTTAATTTCTAAATAGTAATGTTTATTAGCAAAAATAAATAAATAAATAAATAAAAATAAACACCAACCTTTAATATCAAGATTAACTTTTTGTTCGACAGATCCAACAAGATTTGTTGCTTTAACAAGATATGCTCCTTTATCAGCCATTGTTGTTGTATTAAAAACTAAAGCTGCTATGCCTTGATTTTCATCATTAGCTATTTCAATTCCTTCATTTAATGGTTGTCCATCAGCACGTGACCATTTCAATTCTGGCATTGGTAAACCAGTAAAAGCACATTGTAATCTTGCTGGTTGCCCAATTGATACTTGAGCATCAGTTGGTTTTCCGACAAGAGTTGGTTTTAGACAAACATTTAATTTTGCACTTATTTCTTCTTTATCTAAACCATTATCAGCAATAACTTTAATTATTCCACTATCAATTAGATCAACTTTTGAAAATGACAATGTATTTAAATCGCCTTTTGATTCAATTTTTATTTTTCCACCTGATTTTAATTCTTGATCATTTAAATAAAATGTTATTTTTGGTTTTGGTATTGCTTCTATTTGACATTGAAATGAAATTGGTTGTCCTTGAATAACATTTTCATCTTGAATTTTTTTAATAAATGTTAACTTAGCTAAGATATTTAATTTTGATGATGACTCTTTTTGTCCAGCACGATTTTTAACACGTATTGTATATGTACCATCATCATCTGATTGAATATTATCAATACGAAGTGTAGTTTTTATAACATCTTCTTCAATTGTTTCAATATTAATATGTGGTGGTGATGCATTTAATGGTTTTTGATTTTTTAACCATTGAATTTCTGGTAATGGTCGTCCAGTAATTGTTGTTGAATATTCGATTTGTTGACGAATTTGAATATTTTTATCTTCTAATAGTGGTTGAATTTCGGGAAGTTCTTAAAGACAAACACAAAATAATTAATCAAAGAACATAATATGATAAAAATAAAATTTTACCTAATACATTTAATTTTGCTTTACTTGTAACTTCACCAAATTCATTAACTATTCGTACATTATATTCATCTTCATTTTCAATTTGTACATTACGTATTATTAATTGTTTTCGATCATCAGAAAATGCAATTGTTTCATTTTGTTCTTCAAGAACTTTGTCAGCACGACTCCAAATTATTTCAGGTATTGGATAACCTTGAATATCAATTGAAAATATTGCATCTTGTCCTCGTAAAACTTCTAGATCTTTTAATTGAGTCTTTAATGTTGGAGCTGTTGTAACATTTAATTGAAGTGGATGTTCAGTAGTACCAATAGCATTTTCTGCACGACATATTATTGTACCCATATGTTTGGTTGTATCAACTTGAGGAATACGAAGTGTATAAAGACCTTTATCAGCTTGTGCTTGAATTTCAACACCTTCTTTAACTGTTAAAGGTTTTCCATCTTTTAACCATGTAATTTTTGCAGATGGAAATGCATCGATTTCCGATTCAAAAATTGCTTCAGATTTATCTGCCACTGTTAAGTCTTGAGGTGTACGAATAAATGTTGGCGTTTCTAAATTTGACAAGAATTTTTTTTCTTTTGAATAACAAAAAAACAACAGAGTGAAAAAACTTACTTGTAACAGTAACTTTACATTTTTTACTTTTTGCCATTCCACCTGTATTTTGAACAGTTGCTGTATAATCACCTTGTTGATTTGGTTGAATACTAAGTATAGTAGCTGTAAATGTTTGACCATCTTCAGATTCTTTAAGTTCAATTTGACCTTCAGTAGCAACAAGTTCGTCTGTACCACGAAAGAATCGAACTGTTGGTTTTGGATTACCAGTTGCTTCAATAGTTAATGTCATTGGTTCTCCTTTTGTAGCATTAATAGCTGCTTCAAGATCACGAATAATTGTTGGTTTAATTTCTAAA